CAGCCAAAAATACCAAGGCCTCAGGTTCCCACCTGTACTGTGGGCATAACAGTATCCCTTTAGATGTGTACTGAAAAGAWAAATTAATAATAATAGCAATAAAGTTCAGAAGTGATGGCATTAGTATCACAGAACAGCCTGTGACAAAGATTGATTAAAGAGACATTGCAATTAACTGTGCTGCTGTAGTCRATTGAGTAGCAAGAGTTCCTTCCACTGGAACAGGGAGCAGCCAGTCAATATTCCATCAATATCCTTTAAGCTTAGAGAGACTGSGTTTGACAGCCAGGGAAGCTGATTTATCCAACCAGCCCTGGTCTTCCCCCACTTGCTCCGAAGGAATACTTCATGTGTTTTCTTTTAAATAATTCGCTTGAAATAAATTCCACCTGGATCAAACCTAGAAGAGCACAAGACATAGCAGAAGGCAAAAAAAACCTGCATGAGAAGGAAGAGTTTATGTCTGGGGCATGACAGATGACATATAGGGGACATATACACTAAATGTTGGACAGTGGAAATTAAATGTACAAAGTGACATCCCCAAACAGCTCCCCAAATTGAAACAAGCCTCCCTTCACATTTCTAAATATAAACACATGGGTTGGCAGCCCTAAGAGTGTCTGGGATGTAGGGAAGGATGGAAATTTTAGCTATAGTTTGCCTAAGAACACAGCTGAATCATGTATTAAAATAGCCCTTTTTTCCATACGTATGCTTATTAATAAGATGAGAGGTTTGGGGGTTTGGGGACTATTTTTTCCTTTTGTTTCTTTGCTTTTCAAGAGGATAAAAGCTGTTTTTCTATTTCATCCCTGCTGCTGTAGCAACCCTATGAGTTCTGCTCCAACYTTTTTTCTGCTGGCCAATACCAATTTAATTTGTAATGAACACATTGCAGACTACACTACCTCCTAGCACATTGATTATTTTTCACCAAACAGTTACAAGGAAATCAAAATCCCATCTCTTTCTCTTCTTTTTGAACTAGTTTTTGATTGGGTTTTTTCCCCCATGTTCATCTTYTATTTGTGTTTATAAATGAGTTGAAGCGCAGGCCAGGATATCCAGAAAAGTTGTACAGCTTCACCAAAACTTTTTATATAGTAATATCAGTATATTCTTATGTAGGGATGTTGGTAAKATTCTRCTGATGCACARACACCTCATACATCATATATACAGRCTCCCTTTTAAGGAAAGTGTATGAACCATACCAATATAAACTTCTTCACAGAACTGAGAACATTTACACAGTGAATGGTAACAGTATTTTGGTTTTAAAAAATTGTGCCCTCGGTCAAATTGATCCATGTTATAACTGTGCAGCTCAGATCCAACATCTTCTATCCCTGAAATCAAATACATTTTTAAAACTTAAAAAAAATTAGACTCATCTGTGATGAATGCAAGTAWTTAAAATTGCAGTCAATCTTAATTCAGAATAAGGAATCTAGATGAAAGCATCAGTCTCCCTCAACTTCCTTCCAAGCAACAAATTATGTTGCCTCATTTAAASCAGCAAAATTTGGAAGACCATTTGGAAAAACTTTTTGTCAGTAGCTATTGATGGTACTGCCGATTTTCTAAAGAAAACCCAAGCCCAGCTACTGGGAAAAGAAAAAACCCTGTTCTGTTTGGAGCTTACTAGTAGAGGGGATGACAAACCCAATTCTGCAGTACTGCAAGTTGGTCAAATGCTTTGTGTTTTCCCAAAATTTGTAGTTCAGTTATTGACAAATATGAACCTTTTGCTTTGCTTTGGGTTAATGCCAAGGCTTTGGGTCTATTGGACGGRTTAATGGCAAGTTGAACATGAGYCAGCAGTGCCCTGGCAACCAGGGGGGCCACCCCTGTCCTGGGGGACATCAGGCACAGCATCRCYAGCCRGGCAAGRGAGGGGACTGTCCTGCTCTGMTCTGMMYTGGGGTGGCCTYACCYTGAGTGCTGGGGGAAGYTTTGGGTGACACAACRTAAGAAGGACATGAAACTATGAGAAGTGTGTTCTGAGGAGAGAAACCAAAGAGTGGAAGGCCTCAAGGGTAAGACTTACAAGGAGCAGCTGAGGTCACTTGGTCTGTTCAGCCTGGAGAAGGCAGAGAGAGCACCCCATGGCAGTCTACAACTTCCTCAAGGTGGGCAGGAGAGAGGAGGTGCTGATCTCATTGTGGTGCCCAGCAAGACACGAGGCAAATAGATTGAAATTGCATGAGGGGAAGTTCAGATTGGACATTGAAATTATATTCTTCACTGAGATTGCAATTGGTCACTGATAGGCTCTTCAGGACAAGGATCAGGGCAACAAGCCTGTCAGAGTTGAAGGAGCATGTGGATGACATTTTAGTCACATGATTTAGTCCTGTGACAAGATGGGAGTTGAACTTTATGATCCTTACTGGTCCTTTTCAACCTGAGATATCCCGTGGTTCAATAATTCTATGATTCTATGATATTCAATAGTTGACAATGCACATCAGCATACGAAAGCTGAAAACCTATACTGAAGGAAACATCTGGATACCAGCGACTACCTAACATGAAAAATCCATGCATGCTTACTGAGATGATTGCACCAAATAGCCAAAGGGATAAAAAGGAAGAGTGGCAACGGCTGGCAACAGGCTGGAGGTACAATGGGATTCACTTCATGTTTGTGGGTTGTCTGCAGCTGTGGACTAATCAGGAAAAARCTCTTGTGCTGCACAAATGTTATATACCACTCAAGGCTATGCAATTGAAGCCTAGTACGCACAGTTCAGTTCATTTARTGAAGGACTGAAAATATTGATGATGGTGAATATCTGTGTGCAGATAGATGAATAGAGTGGTCAGCACAGATTTGCTTGAATTACCCTGTTTGAAAGTGAGTTGGTAGAACACAAAATAACATGGAACTGACGCTACTTTAACAACCAGTAATGAATGTGCAGGAAGAGCCTACAACATGGCCTGAAACCCTTTAGGAAGAGCCAMGTAGTCCTGAGGATCTATCAGAATTACAGATTTGGGAGAACATCACAATTCTAGAGGAAGGACCTAAGGGATTAGAAAAAATAACTCAAACCAAAAAGGTCATCTTGTTATGATGCTGTACTTGCTAGATCATTTCACTCTCAGTGATGGATTGCCCCTTCAAATACCTAATTACAGCATTACAGAAAATCAGTAAGAAAAGGGTGAGGTAAGTGTAATGCACAAGAAGTGTTTGGGTTGATATGTTACATTTTTTGTTTGCTTGTTTTAAGGTTTAGACCATTCTATTTGTTGAAGAACTGCCAGTTTTTCTTRTGATGAAAATTAGTGGCAAATAAGAAAAATGTTAAGTTGGTTCTAGTTCTCATTTTATTTGTTTGTTTGTTTTTTAATTTGCTTGTTTGGGTTTTTTAAAAATTATTTTTGTTTGTATTTGTTGTTCATAGTATCACTGTCAAACAGTCTCAATTGCTTAAGAAAATTAGCTGTTGAGAAAATCATTCCTGTATGGCAGTGATTTCCTAAGTGTAACTCCCAATTTCACACTCCCTTGAGGAAACTCCTTCGCTTACAAATGCTAGTGAGAATCTAGAAAATGGACCCAGATTTTCTCACATCTCCATCAGCTTTGGCTGTCCATGCCTCTGATGTTCAAAATACTTTAGCCTACATGTAGATTTCAGATTCTCTTAAAACCATTAATGCTTCCTACCTCTAGAAGAGAAGCTGTGGATACCTCATCATTGCAAGCACTCAAGGCCAAATTAGATRGAGCACTGAGCAATCTGGTCCAGTGAAAGGTGTCCCTGCCCATGGCAGTGTGGTTGGAATTAGATGATCCTARAGGTCCCTTCCAACCYRGGCCATTCTATGATTTCACACCCTTTGCTGCCCATTACATCTGAAAAATCTGTATTTTCTGAACCCTAGGTCCATGGAGCTTGGAGAGAGAAGTTTCCTCAAAAGCTACAATGAGCAACACTCACCCAAATAATTTTTCCCTTACATGATTTATTACACTACTTCTACAGCCACATTTTCCTTTGCTTGGAATTTGAACAACTGAGYTGGCACAGGCAGTTGTTAGGAAAAGGTCAATGCCCAGGAGTGAGTGGGTTCCAGGTTCAGAAATCTGACAGTGAAATGCATCTCTGGATCATCCCAGACCCATGTGTGCTACCACCATGCAGAGGGGGTCCACCCAGGGCTGGGGCCTGCTTAATTACCCCAAGGTAAAGGTGAAGGTAAATTTAGGCGAGACAAAATTAGACAATCACAAAATCAAGAATCACAGGTCATGGTAGGGAGGCACCACAGTGGGTCATCYGGTCCAAMCTCCCTGYKCAAGCAGGATCATCCTAGAGCACATGGCACAGGATTGTGTCCAGAGGKSTCCTGAATATCTCAGGTGAGGGAGATTCCACATTTCTCAGGGCAACCTGTTTCAGTGCACCGTGMAAAAGTTCATCCTCATGTCCAGGCAGAACTTTCTGTGCATTAGCATCCCCCACTGCCTCTTGTCCTATTTTTCGACACCTTTTAGAAGAGCCTGATCTTCTTGGCACGCCCTCCAAGGTATTTATACACACACCCTCTCAGTGGTCTCTTCTTGTGGCTAAASAAGCCCAAATCCCTCAGCCTTTYCTCGTSAGAGCAATGCTCCAATGCCCCAACCATCCTCACTGCCTTTCCGCTGGAGCCCCCGCCGTCCCGACAGAGGCAGCTCTCACTGAGAGCTCGAACCAAGAGATGGCTGGGCCGGGCCGGGCCGGAGCGCACCGCAGGTCACCCTAACAAGGGGCAGGACAGAAGCGCACCGCAGGCCACCCTAAGAAGGGGCTGGGCAAGGCTGAACCCCCCGGTCCCTTCTCCCCTCGCCTCTCTCAGGCGCTCGGCGGCTCGGCCCAGGCCTGGGCGGGGCGGACGGGCGCTCCCGCCCCCGGCACTGCGGCGCGGCCGCGGCTCCGGCGCGCCAGAGGGCGCTGCGCGGACGGGCGCGGGCCTGGGCGCGCCGCTCCCGGCGGCGGCGGCGCAGTTCCCGTTCCTGTGGCTGTTCCCGTTCCCCTCGGGCAGGGCCGGGCGGCGGCCGCGTCTCGTCCTCGCTGCCCCCTCCTCCCCCTGCCTCGCAGTGGTCGGCGCCCGTGGCGGGGAGGGCGGGGAGGGAGCGCGGCGCCGCCGCATGCGTCGCTGATGGAGCCGGGCTCGGGGCTGCCGCAGCGCAGGGCGGGGGGCGGCGGGCTGGACCTCGGGGCGGGCTCGGCGGCGGGGTCGCCGGCGCTCTCGGGGGGGCAGTCCCGCCGTAGGAAGCAGCCGCCGCGCCCGGCCGACTTCAAGCTGCAGGTGATCATCATCGGGTCGCGGGGGGTGGGCAAGACCAGCCTCATGGAGCGATTCACCGACGACACCTTCTGCGAGGCCTGCAAGTCCACCGTGGGTAAGGGAGCGCGTCCCGTCCCGTCCCGTCCCCGGGGAAGGGGGCGCTCCGCCTCTCGGTGCTCGCTGTGCCCGGCCGAGGGAACTCGGGGCTCGGTGCGGCGGCYGCCCTTCCCCGGCCCCTCTCCCGCCTGTCCCCAAGTGCGGGCCCGCTCCCTTCGTGCCAGGCATTCCCTCCCAGACCTTTCCCTCTCCGGGACGCGCGGTGATGGTCCCCGTCCCCTTCCCGCTCAGGACTGCGGGGTTGGGTGTCCCCGGGTGGGTTCCTCGGCCATGGGAAGCTCAGGGGGTTGATGGGTGCCGGACTTCAGCAGCTCTTCTTGGAAAGATCGTGGATGTCCTAGTTATCTTTGTGAGTTCTGAGAAGCTGCTGGCTGTCCTGTTTCACCCTTGCTAAAGACAGTTTAAAAAAAAAAAAAATTAGGCATGGTTGGTAAGGCAGGTTTTTGKGCTTAAGTTGTGCGTAAGGAGACAGAAGTATCTCAGGAGTTGAAAAGTTGCAGTTCTGTGTACTCTTCCAGTGTATTCAACTACTCTTCCAGACCGCAGTCAGATTAACTCCAGATGGCTGCTATGGCTTCGTGAAGAACCCCCTTGTGATGTTAGATCCGAGGTTAATGTTTTGTTTCTTGAGAACACTGCGTGTTTGGCTTCTCATACAGATAACTAGAGAGCAAGCTTCAAATTCTGTAGTATGTTGTCTTATTCATGGTTTAGTCATCTGTGCGAGTCTTGGAGGTAATTTAATGCCTGCTGTCTTTTAATACACAAGTGTGTAAARGGAGGAAAACAAGCTAGTTAGTCTGCGTTGTTATTAGAGTCCTATCCTTGGAGTTGAACTCTTGAGTRTTGCAGCAAGGTGGTTGTTAAAGTCTGTGTCACTGGAAAATATGTGCTTAGCTTAATTGTAGTTTGGAATGTGAGAAAATTTATAGCATTGGATGAAAAGTGATTGTATTGCCTTTTAGAAGCTGAGTTATTGCTGTCCAAAATTATCTTCCTGTAACAAAATAATGCACAGTTACTTATACTTTAGTTTTAATGTGTTTTACYAGTTATTTAATTCTTTCCTAGGCTGTCTAAGAATCCAGATCCTGTAGTGCAGATTAGCACTGTTGTGTTGATAAATTTTTTTGTTTGAAGTTGGCAACTTAACCTTGTAGAAGTTAGACAGTCATAGGATATTGGAGGCATTAATCCTCAAGGGATGTGTTGTAATGAAGAAATACTGATGGCTTCTCTAGATGAGCAGATTAATTTAATTTATGGTACAACTGAAGTACAATTAATAGAAGTATGTATTCTTTATAAATTCTCCAGTTCTAGACACTGATTTTAATTCTTCTGCATCTTCTTTAGTTTGACCCACATTAAGGGTTCCTTAAAGTCTGKGCTGCTCTCTGTAACTAGGGTTAGTTTCCTGTTGTGAATCTTGGGAAGTGAGAAGAGTTTGGTCTAGACCCCAGTCCAGACTTCCAGGCTGGTGTGTTTTGAACAAAACTGATTTCCTAGATAATTGAGACACTGATTTAAGCGGAGAAGTTTCCTTATTTCAGAAAAGAAACAGGAAATAAGTAGTGATATGCTGCTAGACAGAAGGTTATGTAATGTTTGGTGTACAAAATGTGCCAACATAAAGCAGCATAGGGAAGTCAACTCGTGCCAAAATACATGTAGAAGGACTTGATAGTAATGGCATTCTTTCAAGGTCCTCAGACTAAACTTGAGAGCTGTTGAGATTCCCCCAGATCTTTTGACTACTAAATGAAAGAGCTTTTCAGAGTCAGCTCATACTGTGCTTTTTTTGCACTATAAAATAAGAAAAAGTAACCTCTGCTACTTACATTTCATATAGATTGAAAATARCCCACACTCCAAAACAACCTGACTCTAATACACAGTTGAAATCATTAAGCTCTTCCTTTGTCACCACTTAACTGMAGTGGTTTTAAAGAATTGCAAATGGAGAATGTTTTTTGAGACATCAGTGAAAAAMCAATTTCCAATCCAGTTTCAGAGGAAGTTATGTAAACTGAATATGCCTTGAGATTAAATTTGAAAAGGCTGTGTAACCAACCAACCAACCAACCAAAAAACTGTATGTTGTTGTATGTAGCTTATATTAGCAAAGCTGTATTTTAAATGGAATGTTAGAATACATACCTAATTCCTTACCTTGATGGTCTCAAGCTTACTTTCATGCTTCTGTGCTAAAACCTGTGGATGTATAGGAAAAAGAGAACAATGTTTAGMACCTGAAGCTTTTGTATGAAAGCAGAGGCTACTCAGGGGACTTTCACTGACAGTGAAAGCGCTGCAAATGTCCAAAAACCTTTTCTTGTTTCCTGTCCCTAAGTGCTATTTATAGCACCGTATCATTGAAAAGTGGAGTGTTTCTGCAGAAAAGGGAAGGTGTATATTYAGTTAAGAAAGGTGCAGTATTTTAATGCTGATTTAAGAAGACTATATTGCCAGATTGGTAAAGAAAATTCTGTAATAAAAACACATCAACATGTCTTCAGTTTCAGCTCAGATACAGAACTTCTTTGAAAGTGTTCAAAAATAGCTTGGCAGATTTCAGCACATTATTCATAACAGCACACAATGTGCTGTTGATCTAAAATTCTTTTGATGTATTTATTTTGGGCATTAAATCAGTTGCATGGAATATTGTGTCTCCTTAAATCWGCTATTTACATAGCACTGAGAATGCCAATATGCTCAAATATTTACTGATTTTTGAAAAATTTAAAATTACTCTCTCCATGCCAGTGTTAAATCCACTGTCTTTCTATAATGGARTAATAACTTGGTCAGGGGTAATACTGGGGTCATAATAGCTTTGTCAACAAACATAAATCTACACTTTTTCTTTTAAAGTAAAATTTTAATCTCCATTTATTATTTGTTGCCTCACCTCAAGCACCTGCATTACTCACACAGGAGCAGAATTCAGACCTATTACCTGAAGGTTTTCCAGACTTGACAAATAAAAAAAATACACCAAATGTGGTGTGAAAAATTATGATTTTTCCCTAGGTAGTGGATAAATACCCATTGCCACATTTGTAAGAAGATTCAAGGATGGGGTAAAGARAAAATGTTTGCCTCTGCTTCTTCCACCTCTTTATCCAACCCTGAGTAGTTCTTATCCTAAAAKAATTGTATCCTAATTCAGATCTCCATAGTGGTGATGTTAAATTAATATAATAATTTTTTGATGGTGCTTTCTCACCCTCTTTTTCATCAGCATCCCTTTATTTAATATTCAGTGACCTYTGTTCTCTTCTCAGCATCTGTTCAACTGCTGCTCAGTCTCATGGTTGTGTCCTACCTCATTCACCAAATCCTAGTTCATTCTCAGTCTTTCTGCTGTTTTTCTTCCATGACAGATCTACAGAATTCCTGKACTCAGTAGTAYTTTCYKTCCATCTAATTTTGTGGACATTACRCTTCTCTCTSGGTTTTATTCTCTGAGCCTGAGGTTCCTGTTCTCCCAAACCTGAGGCCCTGCACTGACTCACCTCTCAGGATGCTGGTTGTCCTGGTCCCTCAAATGAAGTTGAGCTCCTCAGCTTTTCTTTTACGTGCTGGCTCAGTATGTAAAGTCTTTTGAGGCCTGGTCTTATCTTTCAGCTCTTTTCCACCATGTCTCAAATCATCCCAGGAAAGAGGATGTCCTTGTTAATGCCAGTGCAGTTTTTATGCCTCATGCATCGGTGGCTCTTTTAGCTGCTCTTCATAGGAGACCAAAGTATCACTTGTAGTAAACACTAAAGCTTCCTTCTGTCCTCATTACAAGCAAAATAATAGGTGGAGTTTGTAATGGGAAGGTTTGTTGTGGATCAAGATGGGAATTTAGTGACCTGTGATCTATTCTGGACTAATTGTAGCCTGAGGGATCCAGATCAGTGGCATGTAAATGCACTCTGGTGAAAGACTCTTTTGACTTCACAGAAATGATCTTTGACCTTGTCTCACCTTTGTGTGAAATTATATGGAAGTTGGAAATAGAGATCCRTAGCTTTTCCTTCCAAGTGGTATTTTTCCTATTATTTACTTTTAAAATACCCAAGTGCATGCAAAATTCCTAATGTCCCTCAAATAAACAGTAGCAGTAGTGAAAACTTCCATTTTTTCTTTTATCAGAATGCTCTTAAGTAAGGCAACTTGTGTCTTTTATATGTACATTTATATATGGTATACAAATATATACATATATACYTTTTKTATGTATGTATACATATATTTGGGGGTTCTGTCACAATTCAAACCTGTCTTCATTYTCTTTATCCTTAAAAAATGTGGACTAACAACATAAATGTTCAGTTTTATTCCCATAAATTTGTAATATAACATACTTTCAAGTCAAAATAATTAACAGGCTGTTCATTTGAAAGTATCTGTCATTTTTCAGAACTGGCCTTTAAGTTGCTCCTCAATCTTTTTAGTTACGTGGTATTCGTTCTTACAGCATTGTACACATAGTATGTGACTTGGTAATCATTTGAATTTTTTTTCAGTAAATCAAAATTATGACTTAAAATAAATTTAGTATTTTGATGTAATCTGAAATGAAGGACAATCTATATAAAATTTTCAGAAAATTATCCTGAGTCAGCTAGAAAAACATTTRTATCTTTGGGCTCTGTGACCAGTATAATTGATATTAGCTTTTCTTAAAAGATTTTTCCCCCCCTTTGTTAAGATGGCACTGAAAGCTTACTTTGGGTGGGGAGAGGTGAGAAAGAGTAGAAATAGRTGTTTCTTGGTTTACCACATCAAGACAAAGTAACAGTAAGATGTTCTTGCTTTAACCAAAAAGCAGCTGTATACTCAATGTGAGAAATTTCTGCTGTTGTATATAAAAAAGGAAGGAAGTTTTGATGAAGGATAAGTATTTCTGTGAGAATTGACTGTTCTTTTGCATATCCAGGGTGTTAATATGTCTGGTTTTATGTGTTGGCATTCTGACTAGTGCAGAATAATGTAAATAAACCATACCAATACCTTATTAATGGTGTTGGCAGTTTCTTGCCAAACTGGGAACAGAGGAGAGGAGGAGGCTGGAGACTTGCACAGAAAAAGTTTTGCCTCACACAGAAAGATAATTAGGGAATRTAGATGAACCTCCTTGTTTGTCTTTAGAAGTGCAAATTATGACAGAAGCCTGTGTCCCCTGGAAGCTGCCTTTTACTTTTAGGAGYAGTGTAGTCGCTTGTAATGGACACTCCAGCAAGTGAAAACATCTGGCCAGTCATTGTTTGTCTCAGATATGTCAACTGTCTTTTTACAGCATTTGGTGTAGTCAGAAGTTTCTATACATAATCATTTGAATCCTCATAAGTGAACAAAACTGTAATTTAGAACAGTAAAATGCAGGTATATAATATAAATTATTAGGATTTAGGAATAGGGTTTTGTGTAGGTATGGGGTTTTTAATTAACAAGAAGTTACAAGGAAGAGTAAATTTGACGTTGACTTTGTTTTTTTCATTTGTAAACTAGGTGTTAACTTCAGCTGATAGAAATATTCAGGCACTGCGTTWTATCAACACTACAGGGCTGTCAGAGAGCCTTGTAGTCCCTAGTCAGGACATATATGAGAATACGCAAGTAAAACAACAGGCACAGTGAAGAGGCCACTTGAATGGTGTCAGATGGGGAGCTTAGTTTGCAAGGAGGTTGGAATGCAGCTGTCAGACTCAGTCTCTGCTGTGAACAGCTGAATGTGTCAGTAGCAAAGAAAAAAAAAAAAGGAAAATAGGGCCATATGATTCTCAGGGAYCTCTGGAAATTGGGTAGCAACACTTTTACAACTTATTTTTGCTGATACACCAAAGAGAGGCAAACTTGATACCTAAAACAAAATAATCATTTCAGTCTGATTTTGAAATAGGCTCCGCCTTCTGAAAATCTGAATAGCATTGCCCATGAAATAACCTTACTTTTTCCATTCAGTTTTCCTTTCAGGTCAGGTAGTTGTAGGCCAGGAGCTCCGTGTGTTTTTCTGTTTTATAATCAGAAGTTTGAAAAGAAGTCTTGTTCATGAAGCCACAGAGAGCCTTATTCCTATGAATTTCCTCTTCCCCCTCATTCTGTTTGTCAGCTTCTTGGTGCATTCTTTGAACTTAGTATCCTAAATTGTGACAAAATCCTACATTTTTGAAAGGACTTACGATTTTACTATCCACAAGAATGTAAAGAAATGATAATTTCCTCCATTCTCACTGAATTGGGAAGTAGCAAGCATCTGAAATGTTTAGAAGCTGTAGGTTGGACATTCAAAAGAGAAATCACTTRACAGTACACCTTCAGAACCTTCTCACTGCATGTATATTATACAGAAAAAAAAATATTTGGTATCTATTTCATTCTAGTCTSTAGCACAGTTGCCAGTTGAGGTATGGGTACACTTTTATTTTGGGCGAGCAATCTCAAATGTCTGCATGTCAGTCATTCTAGAATTACATGCTTGAAGCTCTATGCACAACGTACTTTACCTGCCTCTGAAATAATCTCAATCAGGCTTATGTCTGACTTAGCACTTAATGACTCCAAATGTCTTCTTTAAAATTTTTACATTTATAACATGCAGTTTGAAAGAGGCATTTCCACATTGGTGTGTTTTAAAAACTGTTTGTCCTAGAACTTCAGTTAAAATAAGACTAAATGGTTTTGGTTTTGGTGCTTTTCCCTGAGAAAAGTTTCTATAACCTTTTCCTGTCCTCCCTATGTACCTTTTGTTGTTGATTATTTTCCCTCCTCATCAAGGTGATAGAAATCAGAAGGCATGCTCTCAAACATCTTTTCAYTGACTTGGTCAGTTTTGGGACAGGTCTAAGTATTGCATTGTTTGAGTTACAGACCAAGAGTAGTAAAGACATTGTTACCTCTAAACTCATGTGACCCCAGTTATCAAATGTAGCACAAGTAAAAAAACTTYTTTGCATAATGCTGTCAGATGTCCAAATTAAGTAACCTGTCATAGTCTTCAAATTATATGTCAGTTTTAATGRTTAATTGGTATATAACCTCTGAATTTTTTAACTGATTTTGTGTCTTTAAGCATGGTCTGATTATCTTTCACTGATTGAATTACTTTGATGCAAATCACTAATAGGCCTCTGAAAATTGAATCCATTGGAATTGATTTTAGTTGGAGGGGTTTTTTTGTGCTCTATTTGCATCTGTTTTCCCAGCTCTTCCATTAACTTTGTTACCAAGAAATCTTGTCCACCAAAAGGTCACTCTGTGTGCATTAAGCAAAACTGTTTCCACTTTCTTATTATGTCTCTTATGGAAAGAAATTAAATATTGAAAGCTTAAACATAAAAGGCAGTAAAAAGTTTCTTTACTATTTTATTTCTAAACAAATACTTTCAGCTTTAAAGAGAAAGGCTAAACCMAGTTGTGTATGTTTCGGTCTGTGCTTTAGCAGATAACTTCTGGTTCCTGTTGGGGTTCAGAAATTAATAYAGTATAGTCAGTTTTGGGTAGACTTCATTTTTGTAGGATTTCAGTCTCAACTTTGAAACAGTCTCAAGTTTGGTTTGTTGACAAGCAATSCCATCCTCAGTGACTTGCCCTTATCTAGAACTTTATTAGTGCCTTTCTGTTTTGAGTCTCTATTCTGTTTCTCTTAAGGCTGTTTAGGTTTGAGAAGAGAGCAGATAGGTTGTTTGGCTRTGTGTTTAATATACTTTAAAACCCTTCTATCCTAGTAGCCCTTTGTTTTTCCTGGAGGAAGCCTAGCTTCTGTTGAACGCATGTTGTAATAGATATTCTTATTTGCACAAAGTATATTTTTCATCCAAACTTCATGACAACAATATGCTACTSACAACAATATGCACATTATATAACATGTTGCAAATCTGTAACTTATGTTTACAGATACCACATCGGTGTTGCTGTCCTAATGCCTTATTTGACATAAATCTAACCTGTGGAGAGGGGAGAGCTGCTCCTTTACAGTTTTAAGACAAGCTGAATATATACCTTCAAATATATAGTATACCTCAAAATATTTAAATAAATGCAAAATTAGAAACCCGAACCAGAGGCTGAGGTGGTATTTTGTGCCTTTTTCATTGGTTCTTGGAGGATGTTTGTTTGGACTCCTGAGAAAGGCCTTTCCAGCTAAAAATGAGGGTCAGAATGTRTCATCCAAAACACATACCATTTTAATCTATAAAAAAAGACATGCTGTTTCAGATTTACTCGTTGTCTGACTGTAATAATTTTGGAAAATTATTGATTCCCTGTTGTCCATGCACGCCTATATATAAAGACAAGGCTGACTTTTTAACGGGAGGGGAGATTGTAATAAGCCTTTTGGTTCCCCTTGTGTCACTGTGACCTGGCWAATGTCATGCTTCAGTATGGTCATRAGCACATGCACTTGTCGGATTTGCTGGCATGTGTATATTTTGTTATTCACTCATAATAAATGAGCCAGCAGGCCTTTAAATGCAAGCTAGGTAGCATGCAAACCGCTGATAGTTTGCTGGTGTTGTAACAGCTAAAAAGAGATTTTTAAAATATTTTCTTTATGTAAGATATGTTGTACAGTTTTGATGCAGTTGTCAACAGTATTGTTGATTCTTCTGTTTTATTGAACTATATATAAAACCATGCTGGAGTAACTGTATGGATAGCAAAACTTTTCATTTAGGTATTTCCATTAATGTATGTCAAGCTGAATTATTTCTTCCATTGACCTTTTTCTTAACTCAATGCAATATTTGRAATTGAAGTGGAAAACAAATTATTGTGGTGTTTTAATTGAATTACTAATTTGTATGTAAACTTGAAGCCCTTGCTTTGGCAGTCTGTGGTGAAACATGTTTATGAAACCTGACAGGCTTAGGAATTTGTTTCTTCATGTGCAAAAGGAAAGCTGCCAGATTTTTTCCTTCAGTATTGGCAGACATTAGGCTTTTGGTATTGTGTTGATGCTTGCAGAGCATTACTAAYTATAAAAAGTAGTTGAGCAACCTTTGCACAGTTCTGCCACTCTGACTTAAGTGYTAAATGATTCAAACAATCCTGTACAAGATTCTGTGTGCTTTTCTGAAACTGTTACTTGTTTGTATTGTTAGTTGCAAAATTTCACAGTAGGGAAATGTTTCWTGGTATAACTAGGATGATTAATAGAAAGATCTGCCTTTCTGCCTTTAAAATAAGAATGCTGGTGGCATATTACTTAYTTTGAAACTGTATTTTTAATATGTAGGCTTTTTTCTACTTCATTTTATTAATATAATGTGCTTTCTAGTCCCAGGAAGTCCCAAGTTGAAAGCATGGTGTGATTACAACAGTTGGATTTTCTCCGTAGTTCATTATTTTTCATTTCTAAAAATAAAAGCTTTTTGTTTCTTGGTTTGTGTAAGACGGCAGTGTATAAACCACTTCCAGGAAAATAAAAACATTTTAGTTTTGTAATTATTTAAACTTATGTGAAATCMCTGTGGTTGTTTTAATACTTTGTTTGGGATCAGAGATGATTCAGACTTTTTAACATCAGATGAATGGCAAATCWTATAGTATGTTGTGGATGACAGAATGGCAGGATTGGGAAGTGGGATTGAGATGTGTGGGCCRTTATATTCAAACTTCCTTGAGGACAGGAGAGGTTTGAGGCAAGCAATTGCAGTTAATTAAGTTACTGTCTTGTAGACAAAGTTGTGACTATTAAGACAATTGCATTTTATAGTTTAAATGCATTTATATAGAGAAAAGGCATATAAAAGTAGAAATGGATGTGTGTTTCTTAAAAAAAACATCATTATTAGAATAGAATAACAAGAATTCTCATTTCACACTCTTTGGATTCTAGAACATAGCTGGATCATTTCTCTTCTGCTTTTGCAGTAGTCATTTTTCAGAAGTGTGCAAAAAGGTTTCTTGAAGTTGGATTAATAAATTCTTTGAAATTTTAATCATTCTAGTATTTTTATCAATTTGCATATGAATACTTGAAAATTGCCATTAAAATTTTAGATTGTTTGTACAAATCAGTTTAAAACTTTAATTCCTGGGATTTGAATTAGATACAGATTGGTAAGTGAAGTACAAGCATCATACATCCTCARTAGCTCTGCAAGAATTGATGATTGATGTGTGCTAGACACCATTGAGGACATGGAGAACRAGGACAAATGTCATGGTGTGATAACCATTGCTTTTATCAATATACAATGTGCAACTGCAAGCTGTTTGAGGGGATATTTGTTTAGGAGAATGAAGGTCAGTGATTCTTCTCTTTATTTCATCTCGTGGGACAACATCCACCTGTTCTGCAAACTAAAATTGTTGACATAATGTCCAAGTTCAGTCCTTTCTGTCGAAGTTGAAATTCAGTCTCAATTCCTAATATCAGTAGAGACACTCGGCTTTTACCAAGGKTAGACTTTGGGAAAATGTGTAGTTTTTGTTAAAAAAATTAAAAACCATTTTTCCTCTTCAGTTTCATCSCTATTCTTAATATACAATTGCATGTGAAATAGCAACAGTGTTTCCAACACATTATGCTTCTACACTTCTGTGTGAGTTTTAAGTGTTCGGGTCTGAGCCATGTTCTCATGTCTTTTTATTTCTCCCTTTTTGATTTAGCACTATTAGGAGGGATGATGTTTAGAAGGAAGAACTGAAGCAAAAATCTTCATACAAATGTATCCTAAAATGARCAGGTTCACAGTCTACAAATCTATGATTTTCTAGGACATTTACTCCCTGAAACATTTTTTGTGGTTAARGTGGTAATCTTTTGTGTCTAGGTATTGTTTGACCATGTCTTATGTGTTGCTAGCCAGTATTTTTTTTTTTTTAGAGAAGTTAAATCTTTCTGTATAACGAAGTCTTTATGGTTCTATCTTTGATATTTAGCATGCATTCAAAATGTGACTGGAGTTTTGAGATTATAACTAAAAGTACCATACAGGTGTAAAATAAATTTTAAAAGTCAAATGCCCTTTTTGAATCTAAGAAGTTTGCTAATCAATGTTTGCAGGAATTAACAATGACAGTGCTGACAAACTTCTTCATAAACCAGCCTCAATTCCAGCACTTTACTACAGCACCTTACAGATGCTAAGCATCCATCCTGGAAGCCARACCTATATTGTTCGTGCTTCACAAACAGCAAAACTGATGTGTAGGGATTGGTTTTGCTCCATGCCTCCAGGGCATCTGTGCCAGTTGGAAGTAGAACAGGCTTGTCCTTGACAGTCAAGGTGAATAGGAGRCAAACAAACATACTGTGCCTGTTGTTTTACTGTTGTGTTGGGTTTACCTGCTGCTGGAAATTTTGCACGAAGTGGAAGGTTTTATGTTGTGATGCTGCCAAATTGGATAGGTCACAGCCTGTAGAGTGGTTGTCAAATCCCCGTGATGTTSCTGAGTTGACCCATAGTGGTGCAAACCCTTCTGCTTGTTCAGACTGTTAGAAGTTGATCTTAAAAAAATATATAAAAAAATAATAATTACACCCTCATTACTTTTGCTTCTTATTCCTCCTTTTCTGTTTACTGTATTTTATTTATAGGTGTTGATTTTAAAATCAAAACAGTAGAGCTAAGAGGAAAGAAAATTAGATTACAAATCTGGTAAGTAAAACAAACATGCAACCAGCAGTATGTTTTAATTTTTATGTTCTAGCATGAATTAATATGCTTGTTTAATACTACTATTAACTGTTATAAGCTGGTTTAGCTCTTACTCTATTACTTCTCTCTTCCATTCCCACAAGACTTAAACAAAACCAAATAGCTCTTAGATTTTTCTAAGGGTAAAGGAGGAGAAGGAGAGATAAAGTTAGAAGTAGGGCATGAATGTAATTACTGAAATATTAATGCATTACAGAGGCCTTGAGCCCCTTTTCCTGGAAGAATGACATCATCTACACAAGGAATAGGAGTTATACAAACAACAAAAGTTGACTGTGTTGAATAGACACTAGAGAAAATACATTTTGGTTTCTGTATTTTTCTGGACTGATTAAAACTGACCTTCATTGTAACAGCAATTATAAAGCAACTGTGAAATATTTTCTTAACTGTTTTTTTAAAACTTGGTATATGCAGYACTGTTTCTTTGACATTGTTTTTAAATAATTTCAAAGTGAAGGGCATTCAAGATTTAAGTAAATCATATCCACTCTAAACAGCATGGAAAAATAAAGCAATCCCATGCAAGTAAGCCTATACTTTTMCTGGTACTGATGCCCTACTACAGAAAGCTCAGTGTCTGAACTAAACTCTTCCTTTCTGGAAGAGTTTAGTACATGTTTTCTGGTAATGGTTCTCCATGTTAGTGATTAATACTATTTTTCTTGTTTAGAAATTATTGAGCCTTACTGCTCCTTTGTTGTGCAGAGTAGTACAATACATAAAYGTAATTATGAGAGAATAAACCAGCTATGTTCTATACATTAATCTTATATACTACTATGTAGAAGATTAGCTTTGATTTATTAACAGTGTGTGATGCATAATTGGCATTGTAGTTAAACTGTTTAAGCTGCTAACAATCCATAGATGGGGGAAAGCTCTAAATATTCTTTTTATTACACTTTTGGGATATTCTGGTAGTTTTTCATTCTTAACTACATGGATGCAGTGAATTCAGCTTACTAACTCCTCTTGGCAGGTCACCATCAATTCTGTCTGTCACACCATGTGTCTGTCTTGCTTCCCTCTGAGTTAACTGCTGCTTCATCTTTGGTCTCATCCGTCATCTAACACTTGAATGTTAGTGGCATGTCTTCATTCATCTGTCCCTGTTTGGAAACCTATGACCACAAGACTGGCAGCTGAGCCAGCAATTGTTAGCCAGGGTCTGCTGGAGCTGACAGAGGTAACAAAAAATTCTCATGTGGACATGCTAATGTGTGGCTGATATGCATTCTTGCTGTGAAACGTGCTAAGCTTATTTTAAAAAAATTCATGTTGAATAAATATATTATAGGAGTGAAGTTTTATTTCAAAAKAGATGTTTAAACCATTATTTTCCACATATTGAGAATATGCTAGAAGGAAATAGGAAACTTTTTTAATTAAAAGTTGTTAGGTTGTTAAGATGTGATAATTAGTCCATTGGGAAGCCCTCTAAAATGGCAAGGAAAACACTATGTAAAGTGATAATATTCTAAAATATCATAAAATCCATTAATATGACATCCTACTCTTAAGTGTCACTTTCTCTCCAGCAGTGGCTGTTAAAATATTGTTCTTAATCTTTAAAACTGCCTTGGCATACTTCAGTTTTTTTAGAAAAGCAATTAGATAAGCACTRCTTTTGCTAATTAATCCTGTATTCTGTTGTGTATGTTGTTGGGCCTGCCTATWAACTCTTATTGTCACAGAATCGTTTAGGTTTAAAAAGACCCTTAAGATCAATGAGTSCAGCCATTAACCCAGTGCTGCCAAGTCCACCACTAAACCATGTCCCTAAGGGTCACATCTACATTTCTGTTAGGGTGATTCAGCCCTGGGCAGCCTGCACCAGTGTTGACAATCCTTTTGGTGAAGAGATTTTTTTTYCCCAATAGCCAATCTAAACCTCCCCTAGTGGAACTTGAGGCTGTTTCCTYTCTCCTGTCCCTTGTTACTTGGAGAAGGGACCGACCCCCACCTGGTTACAGCCTCCTTGCAGGGAGTTGTAAAGAGGGACAAGGTCTCCCCTGAGCCTCCTCCGGGCTAAACAACCCAGCTCCCTCAGCTCCTCATTGTACCTCCARTTGTTAGATTGAAGAGCAAAGCAATTCACCAAGTCAAACACTTAGAAGTTTCGAAATGCAGACTTCAGTTGCATGGCTGATCATAAGTCAGTCTACTTTCATACCTATGCAGTGACAGGATTTAGGTTACCTCATACTTCCTGGTAGAGTTATGTACAATGGCTGCAGAAACTTTACTACAAAAAAAAAGTTCAGTGAACAGACAATTTTTTAAATTTATGCCTATCTGTTTTCTTAAAATAACTAAAGTTATGTTCTGAAGCATGAAGGTTTGCTAATTTTTGTAGTCATTTGATGATTGTGCTGCAAAAGTCAAACAAGAACAGTTTAAAAGAAGTTTGACTTTGGTAATTTTACGGTCACTTAACATGTGTCTCCCCTCATCAATACAGCAGAGTGTTTTCTACAAAGCTCTATCACCTGAGTTTATCAAAAGATACATTAAAATAGTACTCTGTTGAATATTTCAAGCAATTAGATAGTCAAGATGTCCATTCGAAAGCAGCTTTCACACCTGCTGCTGTTAGTAGAGTAGAATACAAAAGGACTTGTCTCCTGTGTTCCTTTCATAATGGGGTACTGTGCCCTGAGGATCACAGAGGTGTCTGCTCTCAGCTCTAGCTTCCTATGTGGTCCCTGCTTCCTATGTTGCCCCGACTTCCAGTCAGAAAACAGCCTGCTACGCCTTAGATTATGCAAAGATAGAGCTTCACTGAGGACACAGAGTAGAATCTGCCTTTTCTGTGCCACCTGGAGCAGTTAGTAGTGCCCCTTGGGTGCCAGAAGTGGTAGGATACAGTAAATCGGTTTCTGCCTTGCAGTTCAAGGCTGGCACAAGCTCCCGTGCCCTGTGAGAGGTAATGCCTGCGTGCAGCTCAAGCCATGAGGTAGAATAACCAGATCTACTGGACAGTGTAAGTGTCCGGGTAAACCCAAGTATCTGTGAATCAGTGCTGCTTCAAAGCTGGAACGCTGGATCAATAATAGGAGCCACTCACTGATGCTTTAAAGCAYGGGTGTGCCCGGAGGTGCTGAGCAGGACAGGAAGGCGTCTGACTGTGCCCTCTCACCTGAGTAATCTGGACACTCACTGACACGAGCAGCTGACATGGTCACTTCCAGCTTCCCCTCTGAAAGGAAAGACCTGGTTATGGGAAGCAGTGGTGCCCTGTCACTGTGCCCACTTCCTCACTGGGGAGCCAGAGGAGCTCTCTGATACATCTACAATTTAGTGTCTGAGCTAGCCAGTGACCTGAGAACAAAACAAGCTTGATTTGCCACKGAAGGGTGTTTTAAATTGGTGCATTCTCATTAAAAGTTCACATTCTGCCTGCTCTGTCTTCTAAGGAACAGTGGTCTTGGAAAATCCCTGTTCTAGAATATATAAGAATGTAGTTTCTTTGGTTCAATACCTCTGCAATAAATTATTTATATAATAAAAGATCTTAAATRTATTTATGGCATGTGGGAGGAAAAATTCTTTAATTTTTAACGAGTTAACCTCTAAAATTACTTTAAAGCATTTTAAAAAATACTGCCTGTAAATTCCATAAAAGCATAGAACATATGAAAGTGTTAAATTAGTGTTAAATTTTTGTGTAAGTTTCAAAATATTTCCACTTCAATTACCACTTTACACCACCACTTATAAAAAATGTATTTAACTAGAGAGCCAGAGACAGTTTTGAGTATGTTCATGTGTTTGTTTCAAGTGGTTTAAATAGACATGGAGAAGATTTATGTAAAAGAAAAATGATCCAAACATATTTTGATTAAAATTAACTGTATTTGTACTGTGTTTTATGCAGTCTGTCATAGAACGTGACAAGTCAACACTTGAAAATGGGCTTTGTGTGATTTTTTTCTGCTTTTGTTTGGTGTAATGTATGTTTGTATTTTTGGAGTGATGTCTAGTTTCTGGTTTGGAAGCAAGAARCAGTCAAGCAGTTGGATTCTATAATTGCAGATTATTGCTGGTTGAGGAGTCATACACTGCGTGTTTCTGATTACAAATTAGAAAGACCAATGCTTTCCATGTAGAAGACTTCATTGGAAAAACAGATCAATAGAAGAAAACTGCTTTTAGCATTACAAAAAAAAAAAAAAAGGAATCTGATGGGGGGATTTCAGTTATGCCAAATCTGTGTTTAAGTTGTTGTAATTTTAATTGGCATTAAATTGAACTGACTTATGCTATGGTGTTGATTCTGACCAGAGCAAATAAAGARCTAGTAGCACTTCATATCAGTCATGAAATTAATGGAGTTATGTACTGTTAGCCCAATTAGATAGTAGTCATCTCTTCTTCCAGCTCTCCACTAGTGCTTCAATAGCTATTCTTACTAAAATAGTCCAGCTGCAGGAGTGTAAAACAGCAATAAAAATAGTGTAGCAAGAATAATTGGTCTAGCCCTGCATGTGAGAGGAAGGCATTTGAAGTTGGTTATGCTTTTAATGTTAGCTCTGAATTTGGGGTTGTCATTTTTTTCTCAACACTGGAAGAATTTTCTGCACATTTTCATGAAAAATATGATAGCACCTGGTAGAATATGAGATTTTCCATGCTAAAGATCAACTTGATACTCATTTCAAACTGCAGTTTACTTYGGTAGCCTGGGGTTGCATTCTGAACTTACTGCAGAAAAATAGTTTTCCAACTTTCACCTTACAGTTTGAAGACTAATACAATGTAAARGTAATGTTAGAGACAGCAAATTCAKCTTATCTCTTCCACTTTTCAAAAGAAATAAGGGTTTGAATATGATGCATACAGTCAGAAACTTGCTGACTGGTTTCATTTCAACCTGCTGCAGGAGAGGTGGTGTGAAGTGTGGGAGAGTCAGTGACTTGAAGAAAGTCATCCATAACCCTGTAATTGGTGTGATTTAGGTGACAGTCAGTGATCAGCTGGCCATTTATACAGGTCGTGAGCAGCCAGGCTGTCCACGGGTGTTTTAAACTGGCCACAGCATGTGGTGTGTCCCAAATAGCCAGCAAGGCAGACTACAAGTTGTGTGACATTTGGGTGAAGGACCTATACAAATGGGAGAGCAGCAGCCTAGGAATGCAATAAACTTTTAAAGAGCCTGAGGGTGTTGTGGAGRGAGAAGAAGCCGATAGTACCAGTGGACTTGGAGATAGAGCACTCAGGGTAGGGACAATGGGGGTTGGAGATAGCTGGAGTGGGAGAGTTGTGTAATGTTGCATAGTTCTCTTCATGGCCTGCTTACCCAGTGCACTGATRACTGGCTTCAGGGAGGGTAGCTGAACATTATTGTGTTTGTTTCCCCTCTGTTTTTATAATTTATGAACTCAGTGATCTGGTACCTTGTGATGGAGTTGTTAAAGGTCCTTAGCACTCACCTGAAGGCAGAGACAGGTGACTGAAAAAAACCCTTTATTTCTGTGTTCCACCAGGGGCAGAGAAAAGAGGGACTAGACTGGCCAGCAAAACAGACAAACAAAACCAAAAAGCAACTTCTTCCATTATTCTAAATAAAGATAGAATTGGTGTATTCCACATGAGGTATGCCCTTCCACCTGCCATGTAATTCATGGATCTAAAAGTCTCCCATCCCTAATAAACTTTATAGTTTGATCAGCCTGGATTAACAACAGATGAGAGAGGCTGCTCTACAAGGTCATAATTCTGAGAGTTCTGTTCGTAAGCACTAGAGCAATGTTATCCATATGTGGAAAATCAACGGTTCATACTAAAACTTTTAAATTTTTAATGGATTGAACATCCAAAGGACCTTCCAAAAAGTGAATCTGACCATAACAAAGAAATAATGGAAAAGATTATACAGTTACTTGCTGTAATATATATATATATATATATATAATTTCAGCTGCCAGAACTTGTATTGCTTTACAAAAAATGCCTCATTAGTGATAAGCAACCAATTAACCATCTAAAACTGGCCTGCAATACTACTGGTGCTTGACTTTATTGAAACAGGCTACCTGTTTTCATTTTCTGTAGGGTCCCAGAGGTTTGTATGAATGTAATTCTKAAGTTCTGAGAATGGGATTTGAATAAAAATAAAACGAAAATGGATGCAATAGGTATTTGTTCTCTTCTGCCCTGTATTGCAGTGTCATTGGCTTGTAGTGAAGTCATTATTTTCCAACAGCCAGAGATTCCAAAACTTTTTCTAGTGGACACTGTTTTACTTTGTAAAATCACTAGCAAATATTTGTTCCTTTCAAGTACACTTATGGCAATTTCAGGGGAAAGTTAAATACTTCACTTTGAAACTTGCTTTCTTGAAATTCCTAAAGGTTTTATGAAGGGTAAGATAGATTTGTGGTACCTTATTTTACTGCTTGTTGTGCGTAGACCTTAAAGGGATTAAATCTTCAGGACAATTAATGTGGCATTTTGTAAACATGACTCTTTTTTTTTCCGTAAGAAGTGTTTCAGGTCTCCATTGTTAATTCATTCCCAGGTTCATTCTCCTCCTTTTGTCTAAAATGTGACTGTTTAAGAGAATTCATTTTGACCTTCGAGTCCCAACACACATGCACATGATTTTCCTCCCTACACTCTTAATTTTGATCCATCTTTTGACTTACTCTAAAGGTGAAATTTCAAAATTATCCATTGACTTTGGGGTCTGAACCCAAGCAGCAAATGCTTGATCACTATGGAGCACCACATAACTTACTTTCCAGTTGAGATGCCAGTCACATTTTAAGACTTAGGATATGCACCAGCTATTTTTTTARTATAACTGCCAAAAATCTTCCCCAGGCAGGCTCGATAATGTGATTAAATGCAGTTCAAAAGCTGTCATGATTCAGTAAAAAATAACGCTTCTGTCTCACCTACTTTAAAACAGAAGCCATAGCTAGTATGGGTGACTTAGTGTCATTGCTGGAAAATAGTCTCCAGTGTGAATGCACCCTCTCTGAAATATCCACAGTGCTGACAGTGAGCATGGAAATRTTACTTGCACACCTCAGATAAGTAGATGTAAGGGTGAAAGCCAGGTATCTACTTGCAGAAGTTGTACCACTTAGTGACTGCTCACTCTTTTCATTAACTTTTGTGCCCATGGGTTCTGCAGTAGTTTTAGAACCGTGACTGAATTGCTGTGGTTGTTCCAAAAAGACTCTGCAAGCTCAAATCATAATGATCAGTGCATTGCTCATTTTATAGTTGGATGTCTTTGATAAACATACATACTTTTTTTTTTCTCATTTTTTCAGGGCTGCTAAAAAACCAAACTAAAAGACCACAAAACAACAAATCCCAATAACACAAAACCAGCTTTATCTTCTGGTACATTTTCATTGGATAGCTTCATTTCAGACACATGAAGAAATGTTTGGTGGCCTTTCTTGGTGAAGTTAGTATGGGATAAATAGTTTTAATATGAAAACTTTTTCTGATTAAAAGTACTGGTCCCTTTTTTTTCCTGAAATTCACACACATAGAAGGAAATATAGTGTCTTCAATGAATGTGGGGGTGTTATTACTAAAACGTAAATTAATTTGTTCTGTACTTTGCAAATTGGTGAAATATTTGTGCCACTGTTTGCTGCTGCTTCTTAGGGACACAGCAGGTCAGGAGAGATTCAACAGCATTACCTCAGCTTATTACAGAAGTGCCAAGGGAATTATTTTGGTGTATGATATCACCAAGAAGGAAACATTTGACGATTTACCAAAATGGATGAAAATGATTGATAAGGTATGCCTTAAATATCTTTTTTTTAAGTGCTCTTTTAAACAAGTTTTTTTTTCCTTCAAATAAATTTACAGCATTGATTTAGGATTAATAAACTACTGTCCGCTAATTTTCACTGATTTCATTTAGCCAGGATTTAACATTGATGCATTTTTCATTCGARATGGTTGTCCGTTCCTGCTTTCATGAGCTAGAATTGTCCCAGTTAGAAGTGTCAGTGAAAATCTGTAACATTGCTCATTTACCTGTGCAGTGGGGGGATGGGGGTTTATTTCCTGTCTKTGAAATAAGGTCATTATGTTCATTCTTAGCTAAACTAGAACAGCAAGTTCTCAAGTCACATTTTTAAAATGGGATTTAAAAATTGAAAATTTTTGAAATAGCATTTAGGAAGAACATTTGCCTTTAAACTGTGTCAGTGTGGTTCCTTCTTTAGCAGAGGAATTGCCCTTTTTTTGTATTGTGTTTGCACTACAAAATCTTGTGTTTSTAGGTTTATTTAATTAGAAATGTTTTAATTGCAGTATGCTTCAGAAGATGCAGAGCTTCTATTAGTTGGAAATAAACTGGACTGTGAAGTTGATCGAGARATTACTCGGCAGCAGGGAGAGAAGGTAAGGACAGGTCTAGAGGCAAAGCTGTTGTGACATTGCTGCTGCTGGTCCATGGCTACTCTTGTTCAGACTGTTGGATGTAGGGAGCATATTGGGAGTGCTGGTGGTCTCTCAAAATCCATGTGGTGTTTATTTTTTTAGGATGTGCAGTTACATGTGCTCCTGCTRTAGTGTCCTTTGGTCTAAAGAAAAAGCTCCAAGCTCCAAGTCAGCTTTTGCTATTCAGTGGTGTAGGGGATACACCTTTTGGGCTCTGAAGGAGAACACAGTGAAGACTTGAATCACAAATGAWGATCTCTGCTCAGGAAATTTTTGTGGGCCTTCTTTCAGATGTTTGCTTCTTGGTACTATTTTTGAACAGGCAACAGCCCTGCTTCATTGGCTCACCTTTGTTTTCATGTTCCTTTTGTTCTCTTGCAACACCTAAAGTGTTAGGAGCCTGTCAATGGAGTATTTTTGTGTGAATGATACTCAGCACCATCTTGATCAGAACAATGTCAGTATGGGTATGCACAAACATTTGGAAGTGAATGCTAATTCCAAACTTTAGGAKTCAAGGCTAATTCTTGCATTTGTGCTACCCTTTTCTACATTTTGAATAATAAAGTTGAGATTAGCTGTTCTGAGAAGTTCTTACTTTTTGGCAGTCTGCAGCAATATGTGTCAACTGAATACATGAATTTCTCAGATGTAAGTCAGGAAGAATGCAGAGCGCTTTTCCAATAAACCTAATTTAAGCAAAAAGTAGCTGTGTGTTGCAATACTTGCTGCACCATGCAGATTCAGGATTATTAATTGAATTAGACTTTGTGTTTGGGAGRTTTTTTAAGGTTTAATGAAGAGGATATATTTGCTGTCTGTTGCTATTTGCACATATCTTCATGGAGTTATTTTATTTTCTCTCCCATCAGTTTGCACAGCAAATAACTGGGATGCGGTTCTGTGAAGCAAGTGCCAAGGATAATTTTAATGTGGATGAAATATTTCTAAAACTTGTTGATGACATTCTGAAAAAGGTAAAATACTCAGGTGGTAGTATTCCTCTGGTCACACAAATGATCAGTGTTTAAATAGCAACTGTACATGCTTGGGAGGACAGAGAGCAAGTACYAATTGCCAGGTGAAATTTTTGGTTAATATGTCAGGGGCATGATGCAGTTCATAGACTGCTGACCACAACATTTCACTAATAAGATCCAAAAGATCCTGAAAGTGAGGCTTTAGCTGTCAGTGAACTCTTGAAATTAGATTTTTCTATGCAGATGACTGTTTACAGGTGATTTTTCTTTTCTTTAAGATGCCACTGGATGTTATAAGAAATGAGTTGTCCAACAGTATCCTGTCCCTGCAACCAGAGCCAGAAATCCCACCAGAACTGCCTCCTCCAAGGCCACATGTCCGTTGCTGTTGACTTGTTACTTCCTACAGAGTGAAAAATAGGAGCAGGAGGGTAAAGAAAGTATCTGTACTACTCTGCACTACAATCATTTGGCAGTTTCTCGTTGCACTTTGTTATTCGAGTCAGAGCTACACACTAACTTGTAAATATGCAAATATGCAATCCTATGTAGGATTCAACTATAACATTTAATTATTACCCCTCTCCCTCACAATGATGTTTCGTTCATTGCCCCAGTGTTATATATACTGTACAGTTGGTGGGGGTTTGCCACACATCCAGTTGAGGAGGAGGAAAAATTAAATCTATACCTATTCTTGACATAAATGTTGTAATAGTTCTTTGTTATTATAAACAGGCAGGCAGAAGCTCTTCTGGTATGAAGATAAGTATATGGTGCTTTGCTAACTATTTTAAAGACAATTTTTTTAAAAACAGAGGACTTTATGTACAAAGCTTCCATAATCAGCATTATGTTTCCTTTTAATGTAGTGAAAACATTTTTGGCTGTAGCATCCTCTGCTGACTGGATTTATTGAAAAGCTAAGTTTAAATTTTGGCAGTATTTTATTTATTTTCTTTTATACTGCACCCTTTCTTTGTGTACCAAGACATCACATCTGGTGCAGATCTGAGATTGCACTTTGAAATAGCATATAAAATTTTCTGCATAAACATAAATTTGGTTACAAGAATCATTAAGTTTTAATAAAAGAACGGAGATATATTCGAGCTCTAAAATAAGGTATAAAAATCAATGCTGCTGTCCTAGACAAATTCTTGGGGAAAAAAAAAAAAAAAGAAAATTAAGATGATACATTTTCCTGTGTTAAGGAATATATATGTGTATTTTTGTCTGGACATCTGTAGGGTCAGGGGGAAGGGAACCTGAGGTAAAATTATTTTCTTTCCTAATGGTGGAAATTATTCCCATCAAGCAAATACTGTGTTAGGATTTTGTCTGATAATGAACTTGTGAATTATATCTTTGGTATATCTTTTTGTTAAATGCACTGTTTAGTTTAGCTGTGGTAAATCAGTAGATACATATTTGAATAACTTGGTGTGTCCTGAATGTTGTGGTATTGAAAAAACATTGTGGTCTTTCTAAACTAATGAAGTGCAAATAAAATTTTGTATTTATGAATGACAGTGGAACTGCACCTGTTATTAGAATGGCAAGTATCAAGTGATGGGTAAAAGGTAGAATCTGGAATATGGAACAACACTTGTGTTAATTTTGTTATGATTTAATTTTCTGTTTGACAGTTCCTTTAGGTGTAGTTGGAAGAGCAGCAGACATTAGTTGTTCACCTCGATCAYTGCTCTGTTGGGAGAGCAGCTGATGACCTGGCCCAGCTGATATTTTCAAATAGCATGTGACTGCTTGTCATGCTGTCTTAGCAGGTGGTCACCAGACTATTAATTTCACTGACAACACAAGTATGAACCAATCTTTTTCACACTACAGCTTCTCTACTTCGCATTCTCTGGTGCTGGAACCCATTCTGTCACTTTTGCCACTCTTCTAGCCAGATCACTGGCACTGAACAGTAAGGTATACCACTGACTTAAACAGCTTCTCCCTGTTTTATGGGAGAAAAAATACACAACAAACTGATAAAACAAAAAACCAAAACAAAAAAAAAAAAAAAGCCCTTCTTTCACTGAGTAAGCTCTGACATTCTGAATACAATGCCATGCAAGTCTGTAGCACACCTGAATTTCTACTGACAAATTAAGGAAAGCATGGTTTATATTTGTGCTTATGTCTTCTGCCACCTTGTGCCTAAGCAGTTTGCTTTTTTACATAGTAAACTTGCAGTTTACTATCCTRTTGGTAAGGTAAAATGAATTTCTGAAGCACTTCTGGGAGTTCAGATGATATTGTGGGCAATAGCAAGGAAGGGAAAATTATGGAAAGTGGGTTTTAACTTGACAACCATTTTATTTTAGCTGATATGTTTTTATTTGTACTTAGAAACTTGTGATTTTTTTCCTGCAGTTTTTGAATTTAATAAAAATTAAGAAATTTGACTTAGATAAACTTTCTTTTTGTAATTCTGTGCTGTTTGTATATAGGCAGATTGGGATCTCAGTCTGTTGTACCAAAAATTAAAAATTATTGCATTTAAGAAGGACATACTTATTTGAGTGCCTGAATGTATTTGATTATTCATCAGAAATCCTAACATTTTCAGGACCCGTTTCCTTTGCATCCATTATACTGTGAAGAGGGTATTGTCTTCTGATTTTACCCCTACACCTTTTATATGAATCAAAACCAGTTTATTTATGCCCTTGCTCTACCCAGCAGGCATTTATGGTGTGATATGGGAAGAGGGAACGGGAAAAAAAAGTTATTCATGCTGCTCCCTTGTTTTCATTCATGGAAAATGAGCAGTCAACCCAAAACAATACTTGATTGGGTCCGTAAACTTTTTGACTGTAATGGACATTCAGCCTGTGGGTTAACAGATCATTTCTTCACAAGTGAATAGAAAATAGGAACACTGGAAATTTCTCTTGTATCTAATAGTCACAATCCAAAAAAAAAAAAAACTGAAACCATGACTTACCAGAACATTTTGAATTATGCACTGTAGTGCATGTGTGCTAGAGAAATAGTGACAGATATTCCTTTCACTAGATGCTCTGCTCCTTTAGAGCAGAGATACACAACTAAGGTCAAGATTTGGTACTTCTGTTGAAGACAAGAAGGTGGAAAACAAGGACTGGAAGTTAAAATACTCAAAATACCTCCTTGACACAGCTTGGGGCCATTTCCTCCTTTTCTGTCACTGGGGAGAAGTGATTGTCCCCACCTGGCTACAGCCTCCTTTCAGGTAATCTTAGAGAACAATAAGGCCCCCCTGAGGCTTCGTTTCTCCGGGCCAAAGAACTCCTGGTCCCTCAGCTGCTCCTCATAARCCTTATGCTCCAGACCCTTCCCCAGCTACACTGCCCTTTCCTGCACACTCCAGCCCCCCTCACTGTGGTTTCTGCAGTGAAACTCAACACAGGGTTGGGAATGACACAAAGTAGCTTGTTCAACACTATCAGCAGCTACCTGAGGACCCTTGTGATCCCATCCAGCCCCATAGGCCTGTRTGTGTCTTAACTGGTGTAGCAGGTCACTGTCTGCTTCCCTTTGGATTGTGGGGGCTTCATTCTGCTCCCTGTCCCTGTCTTTCAGCTTGGGGAACTGGGTACCCAAAGAAYAACTGGCTTTATTACTTGAGACTGAGACAAAGAGGACATTAAGTCCTCAGCCTTCTCCTCATCCTTTGTCACTRTGTTTACACCTGCATCCAATAAAGRATGGARATWAGCCCTCCTTTTATTGYTGATGTATTTGTAGAAACATTTTTTATTGTCTTCTATGGCAATAGCCAGATTWAGTTCTAGTTGGGCCCTGGTCCTTTTAGTTTTCTCTCTGTATAACCTCAACACATCCCTTTCATTCTCCTTAGTTGCCTGCCTGTTCTTCCAAAGGTTTTCCCTGAGTTTCAGCCAAAGCTCTGCTCAGCCAGGCCAGTCTTCTTCCYTGCCAGCTCGTCTTTCAGCACATGCTACTGCAGCTTTAAGGTTTCCTTCTGGAACCATGTCCAGCCTTCTTGGACTCCTTTACTCTTCAAGACTGCCTCTCAAGGGACTCTGTTAACCAGAGATTAATGTAATTTAATTTAATCTGTTACTTATGTCACCACTCAGAAGAGGCAGGAATTTCTGGCAGCAAAGGGTTTGCCTTAATTGGTTTGCCTTTTTATCATTGTGAAAGTGATACCATAAAGTGATCATTACTTAGAGTGCTAGATTTAAGCAGGACTGGAAATTTGGTGGGTGTTTTTGACTTGGGCAAGKATTTCTAGTTAATCCAGTTAGCCTTGGAAGCCAGCAATTTTCTTAGGGACTAGTGCTATTGTTTGTCTAAACGGAGCTGTTCTGGCTGTCAGTGTGGGCATCAGCTGTGGGGTCGTTTATGTTCTATGCCATAACCTTATGCATGTCAAAATCTCACTGCGTTTCTGGGGTAGGWAGGAAAGGTGCACAGGAAAATGGGAACAGAGCAACCAAAGTAGTAAAAAGAGAATGTGGACAAAAACCTTTTCTAGATGGGGAATGGGAAATGCAGCCGGTTTCCAGCTTTGTCATTCATTCCCTTGAGTTTGTATTCTGTCAAAGACAAAAAGAAACTGCACCAGCCAGCGTGGATTCGTTCTCTCTTCTGGTGCTGGCAATTTTTCACTCAGCAGAAACGGTAGCAATTTTGCGGAAGCAAAGAGTCCTTTTCCTGTAATGGAAATGTCTCACTGCTCTCCTAATAGCAGGTGTAGTCACTCTTGGGGAGAAAAGGAACAAATGCTTGGACTGTGCCTTTCAAATCACTACCATCATTTGTGCAGATTCTTGAGGTGCTGMTTGCAAATCTTCCTTTTAAAAGTACTTGCAGTGGGTCAGTTGGACATCTTAGTCCTTAACAGTTTTTATTTCTCGTTGAAAGATGTAAAACCAGTTTGCTCTAGTTTTTAAAGGGTAAATTTGCWCTGTCTTTACTAGTTGTCAGAATGGCTGCATTAAACACTGTTTGCTCACCTTCCTCTTCCTTCTAGCTTCTTAAAACATTTCAGACAATACGAAGGTGGACTAAATATGGTCACACTAAAGAGTGAAAAGCTGAGGTGTCGGAGTTCGTATTAGGCTGAAAGGAGGAGGGCTGGCCACTCTGAATTTTTCTGGCGTGGGTGGAAATTGCTGCCAGGGCAGCGCACTGTGGGGATTGTCCATTAGGGGTCAGTGAAGCTCCGCCAGCGCAGGAGTCTGTTCCCTGCCCTGYTGGTGAGCAATTCCTTCCCACTGCTTCCTACTGAGTAAACGCCTCTTCCGTCAAAACTCCTGCTTTTTCCAAAGCAGCAACTTAAAGCGATGTGTAACCGTGGGAACTGAAAATATAACTAAAGAAATGCACGAGTGTGTTGTTTTCTTACAAGGAAGGAAGTACTGAAGGGTTAGAAAGACACTTCACTTTATGTGTGCAAAATCATATTTTCCTAAGTATCTTTTCTCACAGAAAAGCTTTTCTTAGTTAACTTCCAGTGATCTGCATGATAGATACAATCTGTTTCGTTGTACTTCCTGATGATTCCCTTCAATGACTTATTCAAAAGTCAATAAATATCTGTCTTAAATATCCATCTTCATTTCCTAATAAATCAATCAAAATGTAAAAAAAAAAAAAAATCACACAAAAAAACCTCTCAGTGTGATTACTTTTCTTCTGCACAGGACTCATAATTTTTTTTTTATTCTTAGAATTGCATGTGTAGTCTGTTCTCTATACTTGATTATGTGGTCTGGAGTGAAACTATTTTTCCTTTCAGCTCTGGCCAAAATATAGGTAAACTGTCTCTTGTCAAGGGTGTTTTTCTTTAAAATTGTAAAGTTAACCTTTTATTTTAATGCTAGGTACTTCAGAGGTCTGCTTCAATTCATTATTCTTCAAAGATGCTGTTGTGTCACAGAGGATTACAGGGTCAATATTATTAAAACAAAATTTTATGTCAGTCTGGCCATGTGCCARCCCTTGCATAAGAATCCAGCTTTCTGCAGATCCTAACAGATAATTCTGAAATATTTTGTTTTATCGTAGTTAAAAGTTTTAACTTTTATTTTGTGAAGATGATTTTGGCTCTTAGAAAAAAGGAATCCTGATTGGTGTTGGCTATTATTTTTGTTGTGATGAGGGAATTAAGATACTTGTTTGGATTAAAGTTGTTACACTTTCTTCTAACCCAGAGTTCCTTATCATGTTCTCTAAAGCCTTCCTATGTTTTTTTAAGGATTTTAAGCATTTAAGGATTATAAAATCTGCTGTGTGTATCTCAGTGTGTTAGTGCACACAGTCCCACAGACACCTTCCCTAGCTGGCAGAAGAGTTTGAGTCCCTAAAAGCTGGCCAGCACTGAAGAAAGAAGTCAGTTTTTTTTCCTCAGGAATAGTGGTGCAGATTCACAGTAGCCATGTAAACACAGGCTTTATTGAATCATCCAAGCTTGCCTGGAAAGAGGGAAGGAAGGCAGGAGTGGAAGGCAGTAGAGGGAAGGAAGCCAAAATCTGTTACCTGCCGAATTATGAAATTACTTACTTTATGCTCCAGGCATAAAAGACTGTAGTCCTTCTTGCATGATACTACAGCTGCCCCTAATGGGGTTTTAGTGACATGATGAGGGGAAGGACAAAATCCAAAGAGCTCCAATCACCACTGGGAAGATGAGGAGACCAGAACATCCATTTGCTGGCAGAGATGACCTCTGGATAAGGGCATTGCTTTCTTTGCTCTGATGCAGTTTTGATTTTTAAGAACAAAGAAATGGAAGGGGTTGTTCAAGCCTCATTAACTTAATCCCCTGTGTTATAGACARACATAAAATTGAGGCTTTTTTCCCAGTGCAATCCTAAAATAGACAAGGATTTACAGAAAATAAAGTTTTTCCCTGCTGGGCAGGATGTCTTGATGGTAAACTTCTACTGTCCCTGAGCTGATTAATCGTAATAGCACAATGCATTTTTTTTCCAAGAATTAGTCCAATTGCTTGCATATTTTTAGACCCATGTGTATTATCAATRTCTTCAATATAYTGTRGTAGTAAGTGCATCAGCACAGAAATAGACTATGGGGGAAAAGAGCTTTAATTTTGAATTTATCATCACCTAATTTGTTTCATCCCYCAGCATTCTCTTACAAGAAGAAAGAGTTGAACAATTGTTTCCTTTCTACCATTTCTATGGTAAAATAACTTCCCATAATTCTAAGATCTTATATCAAGTGTTTCCATCAGTCATATCCTTTGCAGTCTTGCCAAGTCCTGTTATCTTCAGTTGTTCCTGTTATTGAAGTCATTTCATACCTTTAAATATCCTTACAGCCCTCCTCTGTACATCTTTTATCATCTCTTTTCAAGAGGGACAGAACTGCATTCAAAAATGGGGGTTCAGCATCAGTTTACACAATAACTTTTTATCATTTAATCAGCAATTTATCCAGGAGAGGACTTTTCCATGGCATCTTGGTGTCTCTAAGAGCTTTCAGTGAGGGATGTATTGAATGACTTTTATAAATCCAGGTAAATTAGATCAAGTAGATCTCAGTTTTTGCACAGTCTGTGATGGCTGGGTATAACAGATAGTCTTAGATCCCCAATATAATTTTTCTACTTGCCGTATATTCTTTGATAACAGTATCTATCAACCATGCCAAATCAGTGACTCCAGTGTCCCTTAGAGAACTCTCCTCTGTGGAATGTGTGTGGGAGGGAGGACAAGACAGGTGGCTTTTGCACAAGAYGTGTATAGTTGCCACTCTAAGGAAAGCACAGGCAGGTTACACGATTTCTGTCAGCTTAAGAGCAGATTGAAAGCAGTTTTAAAGCAGTGAAAATCTCGACCCTGACACATTTCAAAGTTTAAGCTTGGTTACATTTAACTTGCACCACTGGTGGTGTTCTGAATACAAATCTATGCTGAAATAACTCTGCAGGTTTTGTGAATTCTCTGCATCCAGACAAGGATTACTCAAACTGGCAACAAAATGCATCTTAATTGAAATCAGTTTGTTATTCTCAAAATTTTRTTGTAAGCAAAAATGGGGACATGCCTTATTTGAGAAGCCAAGAATTTATTGCTTGTCTGACATGTTAGTAGACTTCAATAAAATGCAATAAACAGTTACTATGATTAGTCCACTTACTAAATTTCCCAGTGCCAATCATCTAACAAAATTAATACTTCTCAYTCTATGAAAAAAAAATCAATTTAAACTCTTGAAGAGAAATGCGCAGAGGCACATGTACACGCACTGGGTGGGGTGTGATGTTGATGACTGGGTTTCCTYCTCTTCTTTGCCAAGAGGAATATGATGTTGGCAACTTCTTCCTCACTCTGGGTTCCGCTTGGGGCTGTTTTCATGTTTACTGGCACTTTAATAGACCTTGGGTTTTTTTCCACTGGTCTGCAAGTACATCACATCTGCATTTACAACATTTTACATATGTTGGATAATGCTTTCTGCTCTCTTTTATTCCTAACACTAATTTTTCCCAGCTCCAAATTGTGAGTATCTTTAATTTACTTTGGTGATTACTTGCATCCTTAGTGTTATTCCAAGACCCCTCATATCAACCCAGGCCTGTATATGTCTAGACCCCATCCAGTGTTCCCATTTGGAACACATAGAAAGATGTATTTAGGACTCACACATACAGCAGCCTGTGCAATTATACAGGAATGATGGCAAGGCCTTCCAACACATGTATGTGATGTGAATCAAAGTGCAGCAAGAGGGAATGGTCCTGATCTGAATTAAAATTGTAATATAGGTATGCCTTTTATGGGTTCAGAACCATGGTGAGTCAAGCTCTTAAAGTGGCATTTTTTATTTACTGGACCATTTCCCTGTAGTAAAGGAAAGAAATTAAGAAATTAGGACTGGAACCAGGAAACTAAACCAAACAAGTTAAATGTTAGAGGAATATGAGTTTTCCTGATAAATGCACTCAGACAACCAKTGAGATACTTCTGCAAGGGCCATGATGAGATATGAAACGTAACTACTAGAGACCAGGATCATCTGCACATAGATCAAGCTGAAAAATGGAAAAGCACTGTCTGCAAGCCTGGATAAGCAAACACTCATGCTTCAGTGGGAGGAAAAAAATGGAAAGTAGCAATGTTGAAAGACAAGCACACTTGAAGTTGAATCTCATTCTGTTAACCCAGTCCTTATTTATAATGTCTTGATCTCTTTCATGCCAGCTGGGGCAGGAGATACTAGGCTACATAAAATGCTAGCCAGCATCTTGAATTACAAAAGGCAGGGAGAAAAACAAGATCTGATTCTGTGGTGAAACCATCCGCACAGAAAATGCTTTTCAATGCAAAAGTAATAACTGCATGCTATTAACTGTAATCATAAACCGAAGCTAATATAATGTTGYTTATTCCCACTGAGTGGGTTCCTGTGAGTCTGGTCTTTTGCATCTCCTGAATCCCTGCACATGCTACTTTGTGCATTTTCCTTTCTAACACTGTTTTTCCACCTGCTTTCTGTGTGCCACATGCAATTGTGGTAAGCATGCAGGATTATCTATTTAGCAGTAGCTAGCACTGGCTGGCATTTGCATGCTACCCGTTTTCAATTCAATTACTGACTGTGCACAGGGCAGTAATTGCARTTTCAGAAAGCTGAGGTTAATGAGTAAATTGAGTTTTATGTCTTCCTGGGTCATAAGATACTGATGGATAAAGTGTATTTGTATAGGAGAGATTTAAATAGGGGCAGTTGTGCCAGGCTGTGCTAGAAGCTCATAAAGAAAGTTTAGGTGTCTGCTGACATAGAAAGTGTCATTGATAATGAAACTCAAAGGAGGATGGAAGAAAGCTRTTCTGAGCAGTTTGACTTCTCTTTTCCCCCTAAATGGACACARCATGCAATTTGGCCCATGATGAAAAGAGAACTTCAGTTTTTCTGCAGTAAGACTGAATTTTGCAATGCACTGCACAGCTCTAAGTAGGCGTCATGAGTAAATGTCAGTGTTTGAGAGACAAAAACAACAAAAAAGAGGGTTTGTCTGATGAAGGGGTCTAAATTAATATTATGCATTTGCCTTCAGGCGCCTACCCATCTCTGGATAGGTCAAAAAGCAGTCCCTGCAGTAAATCAGTTATCAGTTTGATCAACAGGCATCAGGGTTCTTTAATTCAGTCAGTCTTCCAGTTCTAATCAGCTGYCATGTAGAAACTAAATTCCTGTTGAATTAATATGGAGCTCTTTTGTGTGTTTCAGWTTTTTCAGAAATCTTTAATAAGTCAGTGGTTTCAGGACAAGTCTGACTTGTCRGAATTCTGCCATGAGAAGAGGAGGAGATTGTGCTTCAGTAATGGCTTTCTGAAAGCAGGGTGCGTTTTAAGGTGCACATCATCCTCTTACAGCAAAATGTGAGAGTAATTAACATTGGTAAGAGGTAGAATGCAAATGTAAGCGGGTGTGTGGGACAGTCACACCAGGTGATAACTCATCTGGGAGTCAGATCTACCATCTCCTTTGGGCCATTCAGTGCCTTGTGCTTTCCTTCTTTCCTGAGATCCGCTCGGTCTCCTGTGAAGAGCTTCAGCAAAGATGGGCCTGTTTCCTTCCTCCTCTGGCACACTGGTCAGCCTCATCCTTGATCTCCCTTAAAAGCTCCTCACTGGAAAGCATCTCAGCCATGGGTGGCACCTTGACCTCTCTCCTGAGTGTGTGACACATCGTGCCCCATTCTGTCTCACTTTACCTCATACAAAGCAGAGTTAACGAGGGCTCGGGAGCTCAGGAACCACACAGGGCTTCAACCACTCCATGTACCTGGCCACTGCTGCTTTAGGGAAGAGAATTACAGGAGTGTTTGGGGAGAAAACAGAGAAAATGGAGAATGGATGGGAGTATGTCATAAGTGGATTTAATTTAGATGAGACAGTGAAAGTGGAAGAGAAGAGGAAGAAGACATGAGACTAGTCAAGCAAATATTAATGAGGTACYGGGAGAGGAAATTGTCCTCAGTATTAAACCTGCATTGTCAGGCTGTCAGATTTARTGTAGGAACTGCCTACCTTGTCAGCACCTGCTGAGCCGAGCTGAGCTCCYGGTGTGCCCAGATGAGCCATCAAAGCAGCCTCTTGCCAGTCAGAAGGGGRCTGGCTGAGCACTGTGCAAGCTGCACACCAGCTCCCCTCTGGCARCCCCCGTGAGCAGGGCTCAGACCCKTGGGTTGGGATCCAARGAGCTGTCACATGAAAATCTCATGCAGGCGTGGACCTACAGGACAGGGCTGCCAGGAGCCTCCAGAGCACCACTGCAGCGGGAGCAGAAGAATTAGAAGGGATGGAAAAGAAGGAAGGAAGAAAGAAGCAGACAGGATGAAAGGGAAGAGAGAAACTGAAACAAATGTTGATAATATTAAAAAGCATAGCCTAGATCCAACCAACAAAATCATTGGTATATGAGTTGGAAGCATGTTTCAACTAGAAATGGTCTGTGTGTACTTTGTTTCTAAAATATACAATATGCCAGTTTTGTGGTGGACAGAAAACTTCAGCCCTCAGCTTTTGTTTTGTTTTTGAAACCTTGTCAACTACAGCAGCAAAACCTCTTTTTCCAGCGTTGCAATATTTGACGTGACATTCCAAGTGATGCACAAGACAGKGGAACCAAAAGGGAGATGCATTAATGTAGATAAGTACGTTCTGTGTTTTCTGTCCTGGCTTCAGCTGGGGCAAAGTTGATTTCCTTCTTTAGCAGCCRGTACAGTGCTGTGTTTTGGATTTAGAGTGAGAGCAACGTTGAAAGCACTCTGATGTTTCCAATTGTTACAGCACTTTCCAGCTTCTAGTGCCCTGACAGTCAGAAGGCTGGAGAGGGGACAAAGCTTGGACAGCTGACCCCAACTGACCCAAGGGATATCCCACACCATATGGCATCATGCTCTGTATATGAATTGGGGAGAGGGGAGCTGGCTGAGGGGCCACTGCTCAGGACCTGACTGGTACCAGTTGGTGGTGAGGTGTCTTATTGTGCAACACTTGATTTGCATATTTGAATTATTTTATCATTATTATTTTCTKCCTTCTCTGTCCATTTAAACTGTCTTTTTCACAACCCACGAGTCTGAATCTTTCCTTCCCCACCCCGCTGGTAGGGRGGCCATGGCTGAGGGGCCGTGTGGTGCTTGGTTACCAGCTGGAGTTAAAACCACAACAATTGGATGAACCTGCTTAATGCCCATGGCATTATACCTTCTTCTTCCCCCCCTGGGGATACACAAGCACCTAAGCATATCTCAAGTAGTTTGAAAATGTTGCTGGCATTCAAAAGGGCAGTGTCCTTGACCCCTCACCTCAGGCAGAGCTGTAAGTAAGGAATTCCTCTAATTCTGAATTCAAATAATTTTCTCCCATTTGTTTATATTTACGGTAATGTGGCATAACAAAGGTGTATCCTGATATTTCTTTGCCTGAATACCCTTTTATTTAATTCTAATTTCCACAGTTCCTCTGGTCAGACGAGAGTGATCGCTCATAATGACTCGTGGAGGCTAGTAGTTATTTTCTAGGGATTTCCAGAGCCGTATTTTCATAACCAAGATGGATGTTTCTAAGGGAATAACCACATGAGTGCTCACAGCTGTGTTCAAAACATAGTACAGCCAAAGACTGTCAGGAGTGTATATTACACACCCAAAATTCAGCTCCAGACTGTGTTGGGGCTGCATTTTAACAGTTCCTTTTAGTTCCTAGGCCTCTTAATGCTAATAAAAATTCTTGCTGTTGCAGGATTAGTCAATGGCAAAACCCATCTGGAAGATGATTTTTTCTCCCACAGAAGCTGTGGGTGGAGGTCTGGGTTTGCCTCCTTACTCTCTTAACTGTTCTCTGTTCCTGACCAAAGCARATTTGGTTGGGATTGCAATCCTGAGCCTGTTTAAATAGCCATTTAATAAGTATTCTGGTTTTCTCATTATAGGAATAAATTTCAGATCTGATATTAGAGTATCTCCATAGCTCTTTCCTAGGCTCTACATTATTATATTAGCTCGTGGCTCTAGTCCTGAAAAGAGTGTAATTTCATCCTCACATTTCTAAAGGTTAATCTTTTCTCATTAACAATAAGGGGTCACATCACGTGGCTGAAAAAAAAATAGTAACATACATCTGAATTCCCTACCCATGTGAGCAGTGGAAAAATGAACAGGAGTGGGAAGGAGTCATCACATCACATACTAACTCATCTAAATCTGGATTCTTAAATTAGGTTCCTCCACCAAGCGGGATCAGGACGAGTCATCCCTTTTGCTGTTAGGAAAGCCAAGAGGGATTAGGCTCCTAATTTATTTATCAAAATATTTGATTGTATTTTATTATGCGTTAAATACGTTTTAAAGGTTCTGTGATTATCTCACCTTCTTCCCAGACTCTCAGCATCTTAAGCTGCTAACTTACTGATCCTGCTGAACTTTCAGAAATGCACCACAACAACTTATCTCGAGCTCTAGAGCACCAGGAAACAGCAAAGAAACTTGAGGAAAGCCAACACAGTAAAAATGTTCAGAAAAAAAAAAAAAAATCAGAGATGAAGGGGAGAGCTGCAAATGTGTGTCACAGCCACAGCAGTAGCTGCTACTCTCACCCCACAGGAGCTGTGAGAACTTAATGACCAAAATTGGCCACAAACTTAATAAATACTTGGTCTGAAGGACTGAAGAAGTTTGTGTTTTAAAGACCTAACTGCAGACAATTGATCATGATGGGGTAACAAGGTATTTCTGGGACACAAAAGTGTGGCTCCAGCAGAGCCATAGAGGCAGGAGCTGTCATGGAAAGGGCCATCAAGCCCTTGGGTCCTCACGAGTGGATGCTCAGCATCCCCTCTGGGGCTGTGAGGGCTCCGCTGCTGCAACAGCCTGAATGTTGCAAGAGYCTTTAATCTGAGTCTAGCTAGATGAAAGCTGCTACACGTGTAACTAGTGATGCCGTAATGGCAACTTTGATTACAGTGTAGGTATCTTCAAAAATAGAGGATCTTGGGAATCAAGGTCGGGATGTGATTATAAGAATTACAGGCTTTCCTAAAAGTGCTGAGGAGAACAAAAAYGCAAACTGAAAAAGCGATTGATTCTTCCATTTTAATCCTGATGACCAGCTACGTCAAGCTGATCTGCCGGGAGCCATCACAGATAAACCCACAATAAAAGAAACACTGCGTGGATCAGCAGCAGACATCAGAAACCTTCCCAGAGGAGAGGTAAGGAATGTAGAGCTGCCCTTGTCGCTTCTCCTTTGGTAAATGACTAGCTCTCAAAAACCCTAATTAAGTTTCCGTCTTCAAAATGTGATTTCCATTTGCTCCCTAAGGTTTAAAAATAGTGACAAGATTTCGGCAATTGATGGCACTCTCGGTTGCACTCAATTAGAGCGTGGAGGAATTAGGAGTTGCTGCCGGTGGTGTCACGTAGTGATGGTGTCTCCTTTTCTTCTTGCCCTTGCACCAGGTTTGCCATTCCCCGCCACCACTCCCGGGCAGCAGCCACATACCAGAGAGGCAGATCACACACCAGTGGTGCCTGCTGGCCAGAGTAAGTGTCTCATCACTTTTGAATTCATTGAAGCCCCTGAAGCCCTTCATTCAGGTTTGCCCGTGAGCCTGCACCTCCAATCTTTGCTCACATATGCAGCTTGTGAAACGATGTAACAATTCTGCCTTTATGAGCATTTTTTGACAACAGCCTAACTTTACTGGCCACAATGGAAATTCCCTAGATTTGCACTTTTGTGAACTAAACTGGGCTCCGGGGATCCATGTGTGTGGGTTATAGACTCCTTAATTGCATGTGGGCAGCATTGTCCTCTGACTCAGAAATATCTTTGCCTTGGGAAAAAAATAATATACTCCCAAAAAATTATTGTCTTTCTCCGTTCGCAGATGTGATCTCTTTAACATTGCTCTGCATTTGTCTTAACAAAATTTATTGGATAAATGGCAAAAAAGGCTATTAGTTTTTTCCACTGAAATATGTGAGTGATAAGCACATTTGTTATATTCCTGTACAGTAATTGAGCGTGTTTTTGATTGAATAGTCCCTGATTCAAAGGCATCTCACCTGCTCTTGATATGAAGGCAATAAAAACGTAGCTATATGCTGTGATTCTGGCACAGTTTCAGCTYTTCCACATTACTTAAATCGTGACCATATATTCCATTTAGCTTAGGCTTCAGGCTTTAAAAGCTCAATGTGAGTAATGAAGGGAAAGCAATCTGATTAGCTGGTGGAGCTGTCTAAAAGGCACCTTCATTACAAAGGAGCTTAAAAAAGGAATAAAACTACATAAAATGGATTAAAGGTGTAACAATAACGATAGTATCAAACAGCATAACAAAGAGAAATGTCTGCATTCAACTGAAATTAATATTTAATAGATGGCRCAGGCATGTCCATGTTTTTATATTTTTCTATTTTAATGATCTTTACCACAGCTTGAGGTCCTTTGTCTCGTCCCCTTCCACTGACATCAGCTGAAGGAGACAAAGATTAAAACAAGGGTAATTTCCCCATGGTCGTTGCTTGGCACTATTTCTGCTTTGCTCAGCCATGAACTGAAGTTKAAAGGATGAAGTGCTGTCACTCAGGCTGGTTCTTCCCTCCACCCCATCTCACCAGGGTTAACCACTCAGCCAGTCACCACGGAAACGCGTGGCTCCATTGCCACCCCACGGCCTCATATTGGGAACGTCACCATAATCTCATTAGGAGGTTGAATTTGCCATTGAAGCTTGAATTCCCATAACAGGAGGGAAGTGGACTAATGCAATTAAGCAAATCAGTGTTTTGAGCCACTGSATGATATCTGTCCAAGACCATGAGCAAGGACTAGGTGGTTTTCTTCCTGTCCTAAAAAAACAAAACAAAACCAATGCTCCAGTCCTCTCCCCAYATGATGTTCAGGGAAATAGTGTAGTTCCCTCTCAACTGTAGAGGTCTTTACAAATGGGAAGAAAATTGTTCACTTGACCAAAACCCTGAATTTTTTGCCYTTGTTTTTTATAGTGCTTGGATCACAGTGGTTCTGATTATTTTTATCAGTGTCATATTTATTATTGTAAAGTGAATACAACCAGAATATTTAGTTTTGTTCTTTTCTTAGGGAATGTACAGTGGTTACCAGAAGAGAACAAAACTTCTGTTGATTTCAAATCTATTTTGATGTGAAGTGTTTCTTAAGTGCTATGAATAACTCTTTTAAAATACACCAGATTTTCAAGAGATAATTCCAGCATATTCAGTAATTCTCTAGAAACACAGATTATTACATGCCTAAAGCAGCGCTTTTCTGCCTTTTGTTGTGGGGTTTTGAGGCTAATCCAGTTCCCTCCTCCCTCCCTCACCCTGCCAAGTAAACAAAGCCGCAAAAGCGGACTGTAGCAAGAATCAGGAACCATAAATCTTTGAATAATATCCTGGCACATGAGTTTCAAAGGAAACATATTTCTCTGAGAGCCCAGGGGAGAGAGCGAGACTGGGAAGGAAGGGAGCGGTGGTACCCYCCTGAGGATAACGCTGCCGTCTCCATCACAGCATTTCTTCCTGGGGAGGTAGAAGATGGGATGGCGTGGATAGGATCGAGGAGCCTCTTACGCATATCAATTACCAGGGAGGTTATGCCGCTGGCTGCTTGCCGTCCTCGTCTTTGAATGCGAAAGGCAGGAATAACAAGTGCGTTTTAGTAGATGTTATTGTGCTACCACTCATCTCCTCACAAACAAATCCCAGTCTGCCACCAGGCACTGCAGTCAGGAGTGGAAGCACGGGTTATTACTAAATAAGGGCATTGGCTATACGCTCAACTTTATATAATACATGGTTCCTACCCTAAGCTGCTTACAAAATGGGTATATATTGTGTAGGCAGTGTACATAGTCCCAAAGGAKAGTGTAATCTTAGCATGTTTTCCTGAAAATGCGAGGGACTTCAAGATTGAGTCAGTACTGAGAATATCTGTCACAAGCTTGAAAATAGAATGTAGTGTAGATAATGCYGTGGTTATTTGAAAAGCGTCACGAAGCTGAGTATTTCAGTGGTCACAAACGCCCAAAATGTCAGAGCTGAGCTGGTRCTGAAGAGAAACAGAAATGTGCTGAAACAGAGAATACAGGACTGAGGCTCACAAACAAAATAAGCTCTGTGCTGCGAGGGCAATAGCCATACAGTTTGGATTAAAGTATTTTGATATTTATGGTATCAGATCAGATAAGGACAAATTCAAAAAATTAGAATTCATGTTTTTAAATATTGTTTTTCCTCCTGATACCATTACAAAATAGAATCAGGGGTTGAATTACTTTCCTGTGTGAGTTCTTATGTAACACTGTAAAGTAGTCCTGTTTTGCCTATTTGGTTTTTTCCCTTTTATCATGTTTGGATTTAAATGTAGCYCTAATCCTGCATATCCTGCTTTGAAAAGCTTAGATCTGTAATGTATTGTATGGTATTCTTTAAAAGGCTTTGCTCTTTACTGTGTGGTGGCCTTGAGTTAACAGTATAGATTTCAATTCTTAACCTTATATTTGAATGTTTTTCTTGGATTATATTCTCCATTTAATACAATGTAAAATTTCAAATATGCATAMTAACTGGGACACCTGATACCCAGCCAGAAGAATATCATTATTTAATATCACTTATCAGATAAAATGAGCAGCAACAAGACAGATTTATGTGCAAATTCACCAAAACACCAAAGAAGAMAAAAAGCAAAGCATATAATCTATTGAATACTGAGTTTACAGTTTGTATTTTCCTATGAATTTTTGCTGACATTTTTTATTTTCCTATGATGTTTGTGCCATATTCAAAAAAATATTGTCAAGCCGTTGAGACATGGCCTGAGAATCTGACCTCAGGCTTTGGGGCTGATCTCTGAGGTTGCAGGACTATTCAGAAGCTACAAGTATTATATTAAATAAGAGCAGCAGGACTCGAGTCTGAATCTTCATGATTGTCATAGTTGGTTCCTCCCAAAGTGTAAATCATGGAAGGAGTCTCCAGTCCCATCCCAGGGTGCTGCACTGTTGCAGACAATGAGTTTGGACATAGAAAAATGAGTATCTAGCTCATCTCTGAACACACAGTGACCACTGAAGTGTCATCTGCRCTCCTGTCCTGAGCCTGCCTGTTGTCTGTGCCATCACAGTGATTATCCAGAACAGCATTTATTAACTGAGCAGAACTGTAACCTGATTTCTCCCAGTGCATGATAAAGAATGGATAAATAAGCCATCATTCCTAGTCTTTAAGCAATTTTGCCTCAAACTAATCACTACATATTCTTGAAAGTTCTTCAAGGGCAAACACCATAAATGTGTCATTTTTGGGAGGGAAAAAAAAAAAAGAAAGAGGGAGATGGATACATATTTTGTATCCATCATGAAATGCCACTGCTGTTCCTGGGGTACATGGGTGTGACTTGCTCTTGAGGAGGTGAGGGCAGGAACACACTGCCAAGTACACATGACCAGGTTTTCCTGGTCATCTTCTTTCATCCCATAATGAAGTAATGAGCTCACTGAGCAGCTGGTGTCTTTTTTCCCTCTCCTTCCCTGTTCTCTTTTTGATGGTGTATTTCATGGCACTCTGATTTTCCATCACACAAAGGTTTCAACAGGTAGTTTACACACCTCACCTCTGCTACAGACCAGGCATAAAACACACACCAGAATGCAGCTCTGCAGCTGCACCTCTGCCTTGACCTACTGCCAGATTTAAACATAATGGTTTCAAACTCCACAGGCCTCCGGCATCTTTCTTGCCCTGATTGTATTTTATGCTTGGAAAGAAGCACGAAGCACGGGTAGCCCCACTAAGATGGGAGGATAAGACTTTARCAATTATGCTGCAGGCAAGAAGAATTTGAAGAGAGGAGTATTGTGGCCCAAAGGAGAAAGGGGATTTTAATACCCTGAATTGGCAGGAGTTAGAAGAGGAGAGAGGGCAGGAGAGGGAGATAAACAAAGGCAGTGACATGCTCCAGGAAAAGCACAGTAAAGGAAGAGAATCTAAATGCTGAAAGTGAACCTGCCTTTTTATTCTCTCTTTGTATTTCCATACAGTCACATCAGCACAATAGGTGTTCATCTGGACCACAGGATCCATTCATAACTTTTTCATCTCTTTGGGAGTCTGTTAAAATAGTACACAGCTTTGCCTCCGGAGAGAGTGAACTCTTGTCTTGAATGGAAAAAGGATGGTGTACAGAGCCCAAAATTAAAGTAACTAAAGGGAGATTTARAGCTACAAATTGTGATAAGCTTAAAGTAATTAGCAACAAGTGCCGATTTAATAGATGTTACAAATCCTTCTTGGCCTTCAGTGAAGAACAGGAGTGTTGTAAAAACAGATAAACATCTTGGAATGTGGAGAACAYAGATTTTTAGTACAAAAGTCCAAAAGAAACAAGAAGGCAACCTGTTGTGCAGCATACAGAGGAACTGCCACATCCAAATGTGGCATCCAATTCCTGTTGACAGACAGCAAAAAAGGGTGAGTCAGGTGTGTATTCTTCATTCAGGTGATGCTGTYAA